ATTTATAGGACATTCCATCCAAAAACAGCAGATTACACTTTCTTCTCAAGTGCACACGGAACATTCTCCAGGATAGATCACATCTTGGGTCACAAATCAAGCCTCAGTAAATTTAAGAAAATTGAAATCATATCAAGCATCTTTTCTGACCACAACGCTATGAGATTAGAAATCAATTACAGGGAAAAAAACGTAAAAAACACAAACACATGGAGGCTAAACAATACGTTACTAAATAACCAAGAGATCACTGAAGAAATCAAAGAGGAAATCAAAAAATACCTAGAGACAAATGACAATGAAAACACGATGATCCAAAACCTATGGGATGCAGCAAAAGCAGTTCTAAGAGGGAAGTTTATAGCAATACAAGCCCACCTCAAGAAACAAGAAAAATCTCAAATAAACAATCTAACCTTACACCTAAAGGAACTAGAGAAAGAAGAACAAACAAAACCCAAAGTTAGCAGAAGGAAAGAAATCATAAAGATCAGAGCAGAAATAAATGAAATAGAAACAAAGAAAACAATAGCAAAGATCAATAAAACTAAAAGCTGGTTCTTTGAGAAGATAAACAAAATTGATAAACCATTAGCCAGACTCATCAAGAAAAAGAGGGAGAGGACTCAAATCAATAAAATTAGAAATGAAAAAGGAGAAGTTACAACAGACACCGCAGAAATACAAAGCATCCTAAGAGACTACTACAAGCAACTCTATGCCAATAAAATGGACAACCTGGAAGAAATGGACAAATTCTTAGAAAGGTATAACCTTCCAAGACTGAACCAGGAAGAAATAGAAAATATGAACAGACCAATCACAAGTAATGAAATTGAAACTGTGATTAAAAATCTTCCAACAAACAAAAGTCCAGGACCAGATGGCTTCACAGGTGAATTCTATCAAACATTTAGAGAAGAGCTAACACCCATCCTTCTTAAACTCTTCCAAAACACTGCAGAGGAAGGAAAACTCACAAAAACTCATTCTATGAGGCCACCATCACTCTGATACCAAAACCAGAAAGATACTACAAAAAAAGAAAATTACAGACCAATATCACTGATGAATATAGATGCAAAAGTCCTCAACAAAATACTAGCAAACAGAATCCAACAACACATTAAAAGGATCATACACGATGATCAAGTGGGATTTATCCCAGGGATGCAAGGATTCTTCAATATATGCAAATCAATCAATGTGATACACCATAGTAACAAACTGAAGAATAAAAACCATAAGATCATATCAATAGATGCAGTAAAAGCTTTTGACAAAATTCAACACCCATTTAAACTCTCCAGAAAGTGGACATAGGGGGAACGTACTTCAACATAATAAAGGCCATATATGACAAACCCACAGCAAACAGCATTCTCAATGGTGAAAAACTGAAAGCATTTCCTTTAAGATCAGGAACAAGACAAGGATGTCCACTCTCACCACTATTATTCAACATATTTGGAAGTCCTAGCCACAGCAATCAGAGAAGAAAAAAGAAATAAAAGGAATACAAATTGGAAAAGAAGAAGTAAAACTGTCACTGTTTGCAGATAAAGAATCCTAAAGATGCCACCAGAAAACTACTAGAGCTAATCAATGAATTTGGTAATGCTGCAGAATACAAAATTAATGCACAGAAATCTCTTGCATTCCTATATACTAATGATGAAAAATCTGAAAGAGAAATTAAGGAAACACTCCCATTTACCATTGCAACCAAAAGAATAAAATACCCAGGAATAAACCTACCTAGGGAGACAAAAGACCTGTATGCAGAAAACTATGACACTGATGAAAGAAATTAAAGATGATACCAACAGATGGCGAGATATACCATGTTCTTGGATTGGAAGAATCAATATTATGAAAATGACTATACTACCCAAAGCAACCTACAGATTCAATGCAATCCCTATCAAATTACCAATGGCATTTTTTACAGAACTAGAACAAAAAATCTTAAAATTTGTATGGAGACACAAACGACCCTGAATAGCCAAAGCAGTCTTCAGGGAAAAAAATGGAGCTAGAGGAATCAGACTCCCTGACTTCAGACTGTACAACAAAACTACTGTAATCAAGACAATATGGTACTGGCACAAAAACAGAAATATAGATCAATCGAACAGGATAAAAGCCCAGAGATAAACCTACGCATCTATGGACAACTAATCTGTGACAAAGGAGGCAAGGATATACAGTGGAGAAAAGACAGTCTCTTCAATAAGTGGTGCTGGGAAAACTGGACAGCTACATGTTAAAGAATGAAATTAGAATGCTCCCTAACACCGTACACAAAAATAAACTCAAAATGGATTAGAGACCTAAATGTAAGACCGGGCACTATAAAACTCTTAGAGGAAAACATAGGAAGAAGACACTTTGACATAAATCACAGCAAGACCTTTTTTGATTCACCTCCTAGAGTAATGGAAATAAAAACAAAAATAAACAAGTGGGAACTAATGAAACTTAAAAACTTTTGCACAGCAAAGGAAACCATAAACAAGACGAAAAGACAACCCTCAGAATGGGAGAAAATATTTGCAAACGAATCAACAGACAAAGGGTTAATCTCCAAAATATATAAACAGCTCATACAGCTCAAAATTAAAAAAACAAACAACCCATCCAAAAATGGGCAGAAGACCTCAATAGACATTTCCCAAAGACATAGAGATGGCCAAGAAGCACATGAAAAGCTGCTCAACATCACTAATTATTAGAGAAACGCAAATCAAAACTACAATGAGGTATCACCTCACACCAGTTAGAATGGGCATCATCAGAAATCTACAAACCACAAATGCTGGAGAGGGTGTGGAGAGAAGGGAACCCTCTTGCACTGTTGGTGGGAATGTAAATTAATACAGCCACTATGGAGAACGGTATGGAGGTTCCTTAAAGAACTAAAAATAGAATTACCATATGACCCAGCAATCCCACTACTGGGCATATACCCAGAGAAGACCATGATTCAAAAAGACACATGCACCCCAATGTTCATTGCAGCACTATTTACAATAGGCAGGTCACGGAAGCAACCTAAATGCCCATCGACAGACGAATGGATAAAGAAGGTGTGGCACATATATACAATGGAATATTACTCAGCCATAAAAAGAAACGAAATTGAGCTATTTGTAATGAGGTGGATAGATCTAGAGTCTGTCATACAGAGTGAAGTAAGTCAGAAAGAGAAGGACAAATACCGTATGCTAACACATATATATGGAATTTAAGAAAAAAAAATGTTATGAAGAACCTAGGGGTAAAACAGGAATAAAGACAGAGACCTACTGGAGAACAGACTTGAGGATATGGGGAGGGGGAAGGGTGAGGTGTGTTAGGGCGAGAGAGAGACATGGACATATATATACTAACAAACGTAAGGTAGATAGCCAGTGGGAAGCAGCCGCATGGCACAGGGAAACCGGCTCGGTTCTTTGTGGCTGTCTGGAGGGGTGGGATAGGGAGGGTGGGAGGGAGGGAGACAAAGAGGGAAGAGATATGGGAACATATATATACGTATAACTGACTCACTCTGTTATAAAGCAGAAACTAACACACCATTGTAAAGCAATTATACCCCAATAAAGATGTTAAAAAAAAAAAAAAAGATGTGGTACATATACACAATGGAATATTACTCAGCAATAAAAAGGAATGAAATTGGGTCATTGTTGAGACGTGGATGCATCTAGAGACTGTCATACAGAGTGAAATAAGTCAGAAAGAGAAAAACAAATATCGTATATTAACGCATATATGTGGAACCTAGAAAATGGTACAGATGAACTGGTTTGCAGAGCAGAAATTGAGACACAGAAGTAGAGAAAAAAACATATGGACACCAAGAGGGGAAAGCGGCATAGGGTGGGGGTGGTGGTATGATGAACTGGGAAATTGGGATTGACATGTATAGACTGATGTGTATAAAATGGATGACTAATAAGAAAAAAAAAATATATATATATATATATATATATATATATATATTAAAAAAAAAAAGAAAAACAACTCAACACAAGCAACCCAAGCTCATTCAAATTACTAACAATGAAGGAGAAATATTACTAAAAGTAGGAAGTAAACAAAAATTTTAAGTACTAAATTCTTACATGATCTTAAATTTAATTGTAATAAATTGATTATAATTATTATAGCTGTTTCTTATTTACACTTTCAGGCGTGGTGCTCAAGTTGATTCCATACAGTACTGTATTTTATATAAGCTTTACAACAGAATCATTAAGTAGATACTAACATCATGCAGGTGGAGGTGGGGGGGGCATCAGGGCTCACAGACGTTCAACCACTTGTTTAAGTTAGCAAATGAAGAAGCTGGGACCTGGGGCTTCTCTGGTGGCACAGTGGTTAAGAATCCACCTGCCAATGCAGGGGACATGGGTTCGAGCCCTGCTCCGGGAAGATCCCACATGCTGCCCTGATCCAGGAATATTCCACATGCTGCGGAGCAACTAATCCCGCGAGCCACAACTACTGAGCCCACGTGCTACAACTACTGAAGTCCACACGTCTAGAGCCTGTGCTCCGCAACGAGAGAGGCCACCGCAATGAGAGGCCTGCGCACCACGGCAAGGAGGGGCCCCTGTTCACCACAACTATAGAGGGCCCGCGCACAGCAATGAAGACCCAACACAGCCAAAAATAAATTAATTAATTAGATAAATTTTTTAAAAAGCTGGGACCTGAACTCAGGTTTGTTTGACCCAAAGCCCATGTTATCAACCATTACATTAGACTGCTTTCCCTAACTGAATTGGGTGGATATAAGCAATCAGATCCAAGATAATGTTGCTTTTGAAAAAGTATTTTGGGACATCTTGAGATCAGTAATCTCTTCTGAAAAGAACTGCCCCAGAAAAGCCTAGCATTATTTGCAGCAAGTGATTAGCAACCTTGTGAAGAAAGGTTATTTATCATGTTTACTGTAGTCTTTGGTTCTGAAACATCAAACTGTGTCCTACCTGGGCAGCCTCATAAGTGATGGTCTTGGTCTCAGTGTGGACTATAGGGACGTCTTTGGTTGGAATTTCACTTTTCACAGCACTGGCAGTGTCTGAGATGGTGACGGTCTGAGTCTTCACCAGGGGAGGCTGTGAAGCAGTAAAGAAACAGAGTTACCGGAGTCTTCTGAAGGCTGTGGAGAACTAACCTTCTGACATTGAGCTGATCAAAGTGATTGCTCTAATCAAGCAAAGGGCTAGCTCAATCTTTGCCCAAGACTTGGACACTATTCCAAAGTAGCCCTGACAAGGTGTTAAATCATGAAAGATATTAAAGAACAGCATTACCATAATCACTTTCATATGCTTAATGGAAAGCTATGATATCAGACAGTTACGATTGGTGATATAAAACACTTCAGACTGACCTTCAGAATTTGAATATAAAACTACTTGCCAAATAGCACTCACTTTTGTTTGTCCTTGTGACTGTACCATTAAAATTAAGAAAATCAGCCACATTTCCTCCCCTATGTACAAATGGTACATGAAATAGCAGTGGCATCGGAACACATTACCCTGGAATTCATTAACTTCTTTCAAATCAATGTCAGACATTCACTTTGGAGTTATTGAAAAGAAACAGTATTTGGAAAACTGGAGAGAAAATAATCAGTTCTACCACCACCTGGTGATTAATCTCAGAATTTCAGAAGAATGAACATGAGCGAAATACCAAAGGTTTCTTGGCCATCAGCTCACCTTCTCCAAGACTATAAATCACCCTAAAACTACCATTTGATTGTGGTAAAGTTAATTATGGCCATCCACCTTAGCATAGGAGATTAGTACCTACAATCATGGAAGCTCCCGTGAGCGGGGTCAGTGGGAGTGGTGGGCTGCGCTATGTGGCTGCAATACACAAAAAATTATTTGGGGCCTGACTCCTTATTTAAAAAGTCAGTTACCCCTTGTAATTAAGAGTATTTGAATTTTTTGAGCAGGGTCTCAGAACACTGAGGGCTCCTCATCACAGAAGTCTCAGAAATTCACCTCTTTACACAGCCCATACTTGAGCAAGGAAAAGAGGAACATACTTACACCAGCTTCATAAACAGCTGGAGTTTACCCCCGAGAGTTTTGTTAAGTCAACAGGGGAGAGAGCATTTCTAGCCTTGGTGTTAGTGACTCTGAATAAATTTCTTTGTAGTAATCAAGGACTTCAATTTTATTCTGTGATTTTGAAAAAAAGCCAAGAGGCTACTACCCTCACCACTGCCACCACCACCACCTCCTCCACAGAATAGATTCTGGCCCTCTCCCAAAGTGAGTCATTAGGTCTGCACGATTGAATCAGTTACTACCTGGAAACTTCGAATGAGGGTGGGGAACTGGTTACCCACACGAGAGTCAAGAAATGATCCATTTTGCTCTCCAACAGGCTCTCCTGGTATAAAATGTTCTTCACTACTCTCTGCTTTTTTTTCAGCAAGTTGCAGCTGAGAGGAAGCTGGTGATATTGAGGACTTTAAGGCACTGGCCTGTTCCTCCACTCCTACACATTCCCCACTTGGACCTCTCGACATTTCCTTAATATCAAGATAGCCAGTTGCCCCCTGATCCTTCTCTTCCGTCTCCTTGCTGCTTATGGAGAGGGAGCCAAAGTCAAAGTTTTGTGGAGACTCCAACGGGGTAGTCATTTGGCTCTTACTAGGAATTACTGAATGCTTGGGGCCCTCCCATTCAGAGTCAGGGTTGGTAGATGGCCCCTTGCTCATGGCAGCCACCTCCTCTGTGCGAATACCATTTATATTCTACAAATGAATGAACACACACAAAAGCAAGAAGATTAGGAATTCGTGGGAAATACAGTGAACTCTGAGAATCAACAATGATTTCTAAGAGGTCTCAAAAATATTAATACTGGGCTTCCCTGGCGGCGCAGTGGTTGAGAGTCCGCCTGCCGATGCAGGGGACGCGGG